GGTGATTCATGTACCGCATTGTCGCAGGATCGCCCGTTTCGACCTCTTTGACAAGCATCCGAAATACATCAATATCTGTCCATGCACTCTGGTTATCCTGGCTCTGGTAATATGTCCCTACAAGTGTACGATAAATAATTCAAAGAATTAAACAACGTAATGTACTTTAATTTGTAATTAAAAATGAATAAAAAAGTAGAAAATATGTAAATGAAACATTAACCTTAAATTACCTGGCTTTAACATCTCTAGTGTCCTCCAGAACTCGTGGATAATTCCCAATTCAATCGCAAGGTCAAAATCATATGTCGTATGAAGCAGACAGGCACAAGGAATTCCATCAGTGGTACACAATACACAACTGCAGCGCTCGTAAACTTCACAACTCAAGTCTCGCATCCTCGTCACTTCAGAGTTCAATAAACTCAGACAGTAATGCGAGACCCTCAGTGTCAAGCACGCGAAAGGGAATCCCGTAAACGCCGTACTTCTCCTAAGTCTCGAAGACTCAAACGTTGTCCTGGTAATACATTACAAAACATTATATTTTAATTAATCCAGTAATAACATTATTGTGCATTTATCAATTTATTTATATATATAAAAAGTATATTTAGTATTTATTTTTTATTTAATTTTTTTCATAATATTGTTTGTTTAAATAAATAATATATAAATATTTAATACAATATATTTTATATATTATATTTCGGTCGGCTTTTTTATTTATTTATATTTTTGTTTATTTTTATAAATAAAAACCGAAACTGAAACGAAATAACTAGAATTCTAATATATGTGAAAAGAAATAACACAGTTAAAAATGAGGAATGTACCTGATTTCAGTCATCTGGGACTCGATCTCTTTATCAATCTTCTGCCACACTGTATCGAGTGCACCGGTCGACGAGTGAAGCCTCTGCTTCAACACAGAGTGGATACTCTCCACCCTACAGGAAGTTGTGTTACCAAAATGTGTTACCCGGTTAGTCCAAGGTTTCACAAACTTCTCCTTGTGGACTAACCATGTCTGCTCGATATATTCTACCACTTGTGGGGCATTCCCGTATTTTGCATGCAATTGAGCTATGGCAGCGTCGTACTCATCCAACGTACTGGCATCGGCAATCGCCTTCCACCTACCGCGCAAGAACCTCTGAGCAAAATTTTTATTTTTTCCAAGCAGCTTGTAGACTTTGTCTTCCACATCATTGTTGATGTGCCACGTGCAAACTAAGTGGGTAGACTGGGGAAAGTTCCTCCTAATAGAAGTCATTAAGCCCAACTCTCTGTCAGTGACAACCACATTAGGACGTACCTGATAGCCTATCAGAAGTCTCAGCTTATGGAGAACACAGTCATAACTGGCCTAGGACTCGTCCTTCATGAGTGCATACGCAATTAGAAAGTTATTGTTGCACGGCGTCATGTCAATTATCTCGACCAACGACATCTTGTACCTGTGCAAATGAGACCAAAAGACAAAAAAAAATCACATAAAACTTAATCGAACATACTAATTTAAATTCATACTAATAACTTATTTATAAATTAACATACATGTTGGTTTTGTACGTGGAATCTATGCCAACATACCAGTAATATGTCCAGAATAGACTGACTGAATCAGAATGGGCCATGAATATGTGTGTCAACGCATTTGTGCCCGGATCGACATCTGTATAAACTATATAACTGCTTCTCCTAGCCAAATGTAGTAGTTGGGTAGTAACGTCTCTACCCTCAAAACTTTCCTTACGCAACCTTTCTCTATAGTTATATATATGTCACCGATTAGCGTGGTCTCCCGAATTTTTTTCCTAGACAGCGGCCAAAATATGTGTTAGTCTCGCCTGCGTAGCTGTCATATCACGAATAATCTTTTTTGATGACTGGCTGATGTCGCTCAACTGTACACAGCAAATGAATGATTATGGAAGCCCTTCCATTCGTCTTGACTCGTGTGGATCATTCAGTACGTCGTTCCTGCCACATGTTTTACTTTTATCTTAAATTCACACCCGCACGCTTTCGTTTTTTTTACGTCTAGAAGAAACTTTATTTATACGTTTTTGTCTCTATAACGTTCGCCTCGTTTGCACTTCAGGATCTTCACCTTTCCTCTTTTGTGTGTTTCGAAATAATTATTTCGAAACCACTCAGAAGTGTCGTACTTTTTACATCCTTAATAGCCTCCTCATCACTATAAAACAATTTTTTTTTTTGTATCGAAAGCCGAAAGGTAATCAATACCATCTCCTCCAAAATCTTCCAATGACACCTGCAATATATTACAATATTTATAATTGTAAAACATATAAAATTATAATCTATAACATAATAAGTTCTAAATTCTAACGCGATAATATGTAACGTCCAATTTATAACATAATTATTTTAAGTATATAACATAATAATGTCTAATTCGTAACACGATAATATCTAACGTCCAACTTATAGCATAATAATTTCTAACTCCTAACACGATAATTATCTAAGTTCAACTTATAGCATAATTATTTCGATTGCACAACATAATAATTTCTAAATTCTAACGCGATAATATCTAACGTCCAATTTATAGCATAATTATTTTGAATATACAATAAAATAATTTCTAACTCCTAACACGATAATTATCTAACGTCCAACTTATAACAAAATAATTTCTAACTCCTAACAGGATAATGTCTAACGTCCAATTTATAATATAATTATTTCGATTGTACAACATAATAATTTCCAATTCATAACACGATAATATCTATTGTCCAATTTATAGATAATCAAGTCTAACTAATTTCTAACTCCTAACACGATAATATATAACATACAATTTATAACATATTATTTCGAATCTATAACATAATAATTTATAACAATATTACTTAAAACTAAAACTAATAAAAAAATAATAAAATATTCGTGTCCGGCTGGTCGGACCGGACCGACCGGGTAAAGTCCGGTCGCTGCGGTCGGACACCTCACGGGTCGTACGGCCGGCCGGTTCGTACGACCCAATAAACCGAACAGCGAGCGACGTGTGCGGCCGGACCGGCTGAACGCCATTAAGGCCATCCGGTTCCGACAGTTGGACACGATCGATCGCGTCCGGTTTCAGCGGTTGGACGGCAGAAAAAAATTACTTCGGAGTTGGAAGACATTTCGCTCTTCTGAGATTTTAGAAAAATAAAAAAAGAGTAAAATCGTTTAAGAGGCGGTGACTAGTAATAAGGGGCAACATATATTAATACCCTTGGAATCAACGGACAAAAGGAAAACGAAAACGAAAAAAAAAAAATAAAAAAAAAAAATCTACGGCTAAAAATTGCGAGTGCAGATGATCTAATGTACAACCCACCACACACACCAGTCACAGCGCTGTGCGCTAGCGCAAAAAACCCCAAATGAACTTCTGAAAGTTCCCGATTTTCCCAAACCCCAAACTCTCGCACTCTTCTCCTGGCTCATGTGAAATCGATAATTTGAAGCCAGTTGTGAAGAAGCTTGCGGAGATTCATCTGATTTCAGTTTTGGGAGAATACATCGATACAGAGAAAGCTAGGGAAAAGGGGATGTCTTTAACGGGCGTGAAGATGTCGGAGGATGTGTGGTTGACATGTCTGACCCATGCATTGTCCACCGAGACTGAGGAGATCATGGGCCTTCTTCTTGGTG